CGATTATATCGTGCATCCCTATAATAAACGTTAATCTGTTAAAAAATACACCAACGGTCACCTCGGTCTGGCTGTTTTTTTTCCAATGGAGACTGGTTTAGGAGTGTGAAGAGAAGCCCTTCATGCCTAGACAGATGAAGCCCGTCCTTCCTTTATACTGTGTCATTAACAAGTAGCCACGCATCTTTATACATGAAAACTGTCTTTTCTGAACAGACAGTTACAGGCTCGGAGTAACGCATGATCAGAAGCATCATCATCATCATTTTCGATGTCCACCTCCTGTTTTAAGCCTTTAACTTAATATGAATGAATCAAAATTGAAGAAATATTGGTTACTGCGATCTATTTAGAGTGTCTGACTTTAGATTAGTTGAATTTTTTTAACGCAAGTCAAACAGATGAAAACATGAAGCACAAAAAATAGCAATTTCCTATAATTCCCCTGTTTGAACAGGGAGCTGAAGTCTTACTTGTTGTTCTGGCTCCAGTCGCAGCCAAAAACAGCAGCAGGATGTTTGTACTTATGCAGTATCTTCCCATCGATGGTTCGGATGATGCTGCAGCGAGAAAAATATAAAAACACAACACTGAGAAGTGTGTTGGGGGGGCTAAACCTAACCCGGCTGTTAGAGAAGTTGAGGGCTGACCAGAAACCGTCTCCGCTGCACGTGGCGATCCTCTTGGAGTCTTTGTGGCTCCACGAGATGCAGAATATGCCATTTTTACCGTGCTGAAAGAAAACCACCAACAGTCTGTGACTTCACCACCTTAATGAACATTGTTCTGCAGATTGTGGCTTTGAACAGACCTCGTTAAAGCGGGTAATGATTTTTCCTTTCCTGACGTCCCAGATAAATGCTCCGTTACGAGATGTTGCTCCTGCGATGCAGTTCAGGTCACCTTAAAAACAAGCAGAGATTTTTTTTTAAATGGAATAGAATCAGTGTTGCATTCGTAAACGATGACAATGACGAAATTTTCCGTTGTGCCAAAGTAGAAAGAAGAATGTTTTTGTTCTTTCCTTTTTTGAGCTATGAAGATTTTATTGATCTTATTGTCCTGCAACCATGTTTCAGTAAAACAAATGATAATGTCCTTGCTAGGGGTTTGTGTCCCTTTAACTTGTTTACTCAAAATTCCACATCGCCCATACTGATAACTTAGGCTTAATATTTATGCTAAGTTCACACCAAACACAATTTGAGCAGCAGAAGCTGCTGGAAAATTCCCTAGAAGCGACGGTTAGAGGCAGCTGCTGCTGGGGATTCCAAGTGACAGCCTGCTGCCAAGAGCAAAATAATATTTTAAGACAGGATCATAATCTTGATAAACTGACAGCAAAAATTATCTTTGGAGTTATACTTACTTGCTTGAAAACATATTAAAACTACTTTATACCCAGTTCTCATAGTAAATATAGCCTAACTAAGCGACTCTGCCATTGAATATAATAGCAGCACAAGCATCAGATGCATCTGAACATACTTTAATAAAAGATGCTCTTGAGGCACATCAGATGATTCTTTGCTGCTCGAATTGCATTCAGTTCGAACGTATCATAAGAGGTGATCATAAATTCGTCAAAGCATAGGTCCCGCAGGAGAGCCTGCCTGTGCTAAGATGGCTGCCGGCGATAGCATCCGGCAAGCCGCTATAAGAGATCTAGCAGTTATATAGATATCTATGATGGTTGCAAACTGTATTAGCTATTAATAACATTTTAGCTAACAATATCATTAGTATATAACCTAACTTTAACACATTAGTAACCAGTAGGATATCGGGTAACCATTTTTTCCTTAACTTATAAGCTAACAATATCATATTAGCATATTAGCTAACTTTACCATAAAAGGGAACCATTAGTAAATGAGGTATTGATGGATAACTGTATTAGCATATTAGTTAGCTTTACCATAAAAGGGAACCATTAGTAAATGAGGTATTGATGGATAACTGTATTAGCATATTAGTTAGCTTTACCATAAAAGGGAACCATTAGTAAATGAGGTATTGATGGATAACTGTATTAGCATATTAGTTAGCTTTACCATAAAAGGGAACCATTAGTAAATGAGGTATTGAAGGATAACTGTATTAGCGTATAAGTTAGCTTTACCAAAACAGAAACCATTGATAGCAAACCGCATTAGCTCATTATAGCATATCAGCCAACAATATAATTAGCATATTAGCCATCTTTACTATAAAAGAAAATGATTATATAATTACTATATCAGGTAGCGACTGTCAACTGTATTAGCTAATAATAACAAACTAAGGCTCAGTCCGAATGTCCACCCTAATCACCTTAAATAGGGCCCTATATAAGGATTAGGCTATTTTAAATGGGGGTCTGAATGTCTAGTGGAGGAAAAAGTAGTGGAATCGAAATGTCCCACAATCATCCATGGTCACTAGGCGAGCAGATATATCCAGGAAAGCTTTGCGAGAGCTTTCCTCGCAATGCGTTATGGTATTTCTTGTCACAGCGGCAACAAATAACCAAGATGGCGCAGGCACCGTGCGGAGAGACTGAGTCAAGTGACCAATGGGGAATGAAAAGTAGTGATCATCTGTCCGAACGGTCAGTTAACTGAGTTCACTATAAACTCCCCGCTCTATATACAGATTAAGGGATTTAGGGGTTAGGGTGGATGTTTGGACACAGCCAGTCTGGCATACTGTTAGGATATTAGCTAACAGTAGGTAATGGAAGCTGATGTGCTGATCCACCTGGAGCCCAGGACAGCGAGTAAACCACTCCTTCGTTGCCAGGTGAGGTATGTACAGCCGTCAACGTGTTGGTGTCCCAGATTTTTATCGTTCCATCAAAACTAGCCGTTGCCAGGAGGTTGGGATCATCTGGTTTGAACTTGCAGTCAAAGATAGTTTCTACATGACCCTGTAATGGACAAAAAAAACATGTTCGTACAGAAAGACCACAGAGAAAAGCTCCAGGTTTCTGACTTTGTGCAGGCAGCGGAGTACCAGGTCACGTAGGAAATCCCACTTCTTGGCTCCCATATCATAGAGTCCAACACCACCATCCATGAAGCAGCAGACCGCATGGCCAGGCGGCAGAGAGAAGGCCCGGTTCTGGGACAGAGTAGGTGGGGGGACAGCCTCGCTGGTGGAACTGGTGTGCTGGCTTTTACTGGGAGAACAGGAGCTCTGAGCTGCAGAGAGAAAGGAGAGCATCAGCTCAGGTTCAGATTGTCCAACATGAATACTGCTGACCTGAGGTAGAACTGATTTATTTGAAAAAAAACAGGAACAGGAAAGTGTTTGATCTGGAACAGGCCTACAGTGGCTAATCGGCAGGACATGGACAATTCCCAGCAGGCTGGTCTTATTTTTAGGCTGCAAGTGCCGTTCATTTATTTTATTTTATTTCTTTTTTACACCGGTGTTCAGCCATGAGTGGATCGCTTGAACTGCTATGCCATCCCTGACCTGCCTCTGGCTTCACTGGCAGGTTTTTTCTCCATGCACTCTTATGTAATACATTGGTGCACACAGTCCCTCACTGGTGCCTGAAAGTTGGGGAGTAAAAGGAGCATCGGCAGCTCAAAGAAAACCAATATTATAGAGGAAATATCTAGAAAAAGAAGCTACTAAAGTTACAAAAATTGGCAGTTTTTTTAGTAAAATGACCTTTAAGTTTGAACCTTGGAAAGACATCGATAAGGCAAGGGTAAGGCAAGTTCTCTGCCTGTAAACCACCGAACACATTAATTATCAAGTCATTGCACGTTGTGATGATGT